CCGCCTCCCGGGTTGAGGCTACTATCTTGCCTCAGCCTCTATAGTAGTTGGGACTACAGGCACCTGCCACCACGTCCGGCTAATTTTTTTTTTTTTTTTTTTGGTATTTTTAGTACAGACAGGGTTTCTCTTCACCTCGTGATCCGCCCGCCTCGACCACCAAAACTACTGGAGTTACAGGCATGCGCCACCACACCTTGCCAATAGACTCTATTTTTTTAAAAAAATTATTTTTTGTAGAGATGAGGTCACACTTCGTTGCTGAGGCTGGTCTTGAACTCCTGACTTTAAGTGGTCCTTCCATTTTGGCCTCCCAAAGTGCTGTGATTTTATGTGTGAGGCACTGCACCTGGCCTCAGTAGGCTTTTATGGCTTATGCCTTCTGTCCTTTTAAAACTATTTCAACTTAATTTTCTACTCTAATTGTTTGTTGTAGTTTATATATATATGTAAGTGTATATATATTTGTAGGGTGTGTAAATATAGTGTGTGCATATATATATAGTATCTGTGTGTATATGTGTATGTGTGTCTGTGTGTGTGTGTGTGTATATACAGGTATATATATATATACACACACACACATTTTTGTTTTTTCGAGATAGGGTCCATTCTGTCACCCAGGCTGGAGTGCAGTGGTGCAATCATGGCTCACTGGAGCCTTGACCTTCTGGGCTCAATTGATCTGCCCGCCTCAGCCTGCTGAACAGCTGGGACAACAGGTGTGCCACCACCACATCCAACAATTTTTTTTTTTTTTTTTTTTTTTGTAGAGGTAGGATTTTGCCATATTGCCCAGGCTGGTCTTGAACCCCTGGGCTCAAGCGATCTGCCTACCTCAGCCTCCCAAAGTGTTAATATTACAGGTGTGATCCGCTGTGCCCGGACTATATTACTATGTCGTATGCTGCAGAAGCTCTTTTGGAAACAAACTGGGATATAAATAATACTCAAGTGTGACTTTCAGGAACGTATTCTTCATAGTAAGACAATGCCATTGAAACTTATTGTGTTTCATAAGAAGGGGTATTACTGGCTCTACATTTATTTTTGCTTTTACATTCTGAGGATGGGAGGGAGAGGGATCTAAAATAAATTTTGAGTACCATTGCATTTGAACAATAATAGCTGATTAGCCTAAGTCCTTTCAGAAGGGAAATCAGCATGCATGACATCATTTCTTGCCACTTAAATTAAAATTCTAAATTCGTGAGTTTGGCTCTTTAAGAGAAACCAGACCTACTTGACTGCAGTCATCCTAGCTGGCCATAAGACAGGAAGTAAAGGGCCAGGCGCAGTGTCTCACGCCTGTAATCCCAGCACTCTGGGAGGCTGAGGCGGGCGGATCACAAGGTCAGGAAAACGAGACCATCCTGGCTAACACGGTGAAACCCTGTCTCTACTAAAAATCCAAAAGACTTAGCCGGGCGTGGTGGCGGGCACCTGTAATCCCAGCTACTCAGGAGACTGAGGCAGGAGAATGAACCCAGGAGGCGGAGCTTGCAGTGAGCCGAGATCACCCCACTGTGCTCCAGCCTGGGCAACAGAGCGAGACTCCATCTCAAAAAAAAAAAAAAGGACGGGAAGTAAACAGGTAACAGGCAGATGTTAAAAGCTTTGCTTCATTCTTGTGTTGAGAGGACCTTTTTGATTTTTTTCTCCCTCTCCGCAGGTAAATAATCCCAGCATCCTTGTGTTTTCATTCACGTAAGATTTAAAAACTTGCGGCAGGAGTTTTTTCTTTTGTTTTGTTTTGTTTCTTTTAGATGGAGTTTCGTTCTTGTTGCCCAGACTGGAGTGCAATGACACGATCTTCGTTCACCGCAACCTCTGCCTCCCGGGTTCAAGCAATTCTCCTGCCTCAGCCTCCCCAGTAGCTGGGATTACAGGCATGCGCCGCCACTCCTGGCTAATTTTTTATTTTTAGTAGAGACGGAGTTTCTCCATGTTGGTCAGGCTGGTCTCAACTCCTGACCTCAGGTGATCCACCCGCCTCGGCCTCCCAGAGTTCTGGGATTACAGGCATGAGCCACCACGCCTGGCCCGTGGCAGGAGTTTAAAAGTTAAAATGTACTTTATTTCTTTGTTTATTTTATTTTATTTTTTTTGAGATGGAGTCTGGCTCTGTTGCCCAATCTCAACTCACTGCAAGCTCCGCCTCCTGGGTTGTCGCTGTTCTCCCGCCTCAGCCTCCCGAGGAGCTGGGACTACAGTTGCCCGCCACCATGCCCGGCTAATTTTTTGTATTATTTTAGTAGAGACGGGGTTTCACCATGTTAGCCAGGAGGGTCTTGATCTCCTGACCTCGTTATCCGCCTGCCTTGGCCTCCCAAAGTGCTGGGATTACAGGTATGAGCCACTGTGCCCGGCCACAAGTATCTATTTCTACCAAACACAGTTCAGTTCTCTGAGAAAGATTTCACAGTAACATGTAACATGGAACAGAAAGGTGCAGAATGTAGCCACTTTTTTGTGACTATTGCCGTTGGAAAAACTTTTTTTTTTTGAAGATGGACTTTCGCTCCTCTCGCCCAGGCTGGAGTGCAGAGGTGTAATCTCAGCTCACTGCAACCTCTGCCTCCCAGGTTCAAGCGATTCTCCTGCCTTAGCCTCCCATTTAGCTGGGACTACAGGTATGCGCCACCACACCGGGGTATTGTTTTGTATTTTTAGTAGAGTTGGGCTTTCACCGTGTTGGCCAGGCTGGTCTTGAACTCCTGACCTCAGGTGATCTGCCTGCCTTGGCCTTCTAAAGTGCTGGTATTACAGTTGTGAGCCATTGTGCCTGCCCGGAAAAACTTTATTTTGACATAATTTCATACTTAAACAGTTTCAAGGGTAGTATAAAGAATTCCTATGCCAGGCTCAGTGGCTCATGCCTATAATCTCAGCACTTTGGGAGACCAAGGTGGGTGGATCATGAGGTCAGGAGTTTGAGACCAGTCTGGCCAACATAGTGAAACCCCATCTCTACTAAAAATAGAAAAATTAGCCGAGCATGGTGGTGTGCTCCTGTAATCCCAGCTACTCAGGAGTCCTCATTTTATAAATGGAGAAACTAAAGTATAAAATCACATAGCTCACTTATTATCACACAATAAGTTAATGGTGGAAACACAGGCTTCCTTCCAGGACACTGCTACTTCCTCTGTCCTGTTGCTTAAAAACTGCACTTCTGCCAGGCACAGTGGTGCGTGCCTGTAGCCCAAGCTACTCAGGAGGCTGAGGCGGGAGGATCATTGGAGCCAAGGATTATTAATAGAATCTAGCCTTGACAACATAGCGAGACCCTGTCTCTAAAACAAAATAAAGGTCTTTAGCAGTTAGCCTGTTTCACAGCATACATTTCTGATCCCCATGCATAACTAATTCAGGAAATAGATAATATTGTTATTTAAAATTTGTTTCTTATATGCTAATATTTTTCACTCCCTGCTAATATTTTTCACTTGTCTTCTACTCTTAGCCCCCATTCACTGGGGAGAATGGAAAGAAAACAGCTGCCTCCCTACCTCACACAAGAAGCCAGAGATCTGCTTAAAAAGCTAAGGTTCTTTTTTTTTTTTTTTTTTTTTGAGACGGAGTCTGGCTCTGTCGCCCAGGCTGGAGTGCAGTGGCCAGATCCCAGCTCACTGCAAGCTCCGCCTCCCGGGTTTACACCATTCTCCTGCCTCAGCCTCCCGAGTAGCTGGGACTACAGGCGCCCGCCACCTCGCCTGGCTAGTTTTTTTTTCTTTTTGTATTTTTAGTAGAGACGGGGTTTCACCATGTTAGCCAGGATGGTCTCGATCTCCTGACCTTGTGATCCGCCCATCTCGGCCTCCCAAAGTGCTGGGATTACAGGCTTGTGCCACCGCGCCCGGCCAAAAAAGGTAAGGTTCTTAAATGGTCACCAACACTATAAGATTCAATGACTAGGATTTAACTAGATAGAATTTAATGTATATTTTGAATAATACATATTGAACAAAAAAAGTCTTCAGTTTTTGAAGGCGAAGTACAGATTTATCTAACGACTTTCTTTTCATATTGGTTTTTATAATTCTTTCTTTTTTTTGGGGGGGGGAGGGGACAGAGTCTCGCTCTGTCACCCAGGCTGGAGTACAGTGGCGCAATCTTGGCTCACTGCAACGTCAGCCCCCCAGGTTCAAGCGATTCTCCTGCCTCAGCCTCTGGAGTAGCCGGGATTACAGGCGCCCGCCAGCACGCCTGGGTAATTTTTGTATTTTTAATAGAGACAGGGTTCCACCATGTTGGTCAGGCTGGTTTGGAATTCCTGACCACAGGTGATCCAGCTGCCTTGGCCTCCCAAAGTGCTGGGATTACAGACCCTTAAACAATTACTCAGTAGTAATTAGTAAACTATATTTTCTTTTCTTTCTGAGATGGAGTCTTGCCCTGTCATCCAGGCTGGAGTGCAATGGCATGATCTTGGCTCACTGCAACCTCCGCCTCCCAGGTTCCAGTGATTGTCCTGCCTCAGTCTCCCTAGTAACTGGGATTACAGGTGTGCACCACCATGCCGGGCTAATTTTTGTATTTTTAGTAGAGAAGGGGTTTCACCATGTTGGCCAGGCTGGTCTCGAACTCCCAGCCTCAGTGAACCACCTGCCTCAGCCTCCCAAAATGCTGGGATTACAGGCATGAGCCACCCGTGCCCGGCAGTAAACTATATTTTGTCAAGGCAAAGTAGACAAGCAAAGTCTAAAAAGGAAAAAAATCAGTTTGACTAAGGTTCTTTATCCAGGCTTTTTTTCCTCTATCAAGCTGCTTCTCATCTGGGAGCTGGGCCTGGGGACCCTGGAGAAGTTCAAGTAGGGATTGGCATGTTTGGTGTTTTTGGGGGGAAGATAGTGCTAGTTTTATGTATTTCTCAGGGTTATATGTAGTTGCTTTTAAGTTTAGCTTATTTTGTGACCTGTAACTTCAAAAAGGTGATTAATTTCTCAATCCAGCAAAGTCTATTCCCCTCAACTTTTTTTTCTGCTTTTTTTTCCCCTAGGCTCATCCATTCTTTAGACACATTAACTGGGAAGAACTTCTGGCTGGAAAGGTGGAGCCCCCCCTTTAAACCTCTGTTGGTAAGTATACATGAAAGCATATAATTGGGTGCAAGGGCTCATACCTGTAATCCCAAAACTTTAAAGGGCCGAGGTGGGAGGATTGTTTGAAGCCAGGAGTTCGAGACCAGCATAGGCAACATAACAAGACTCCATCTCTACAAAACATTTAAAAGTTAGCTGGGCCGGGCGCGGTGGCTCACGCCTGTAATCCCAGCACTTTGGGAGGCCGAGGCGGGCGGATCATGAGGTCAGGAGATCAAGACCATCCTGGCAAACACTGTGAAACCCAGTCTCTATTAAAAATACAAAAAATTAGCCAGGCGTGGTGGTGGGCGCCTGTAGTCCCAGCTACTCGGGAGACGGAGGCAGGAGAATGGCGTGAACCCGCAAGGCGGAGCTTGCAGTGAGCGGAGATCACACCACTGCACTCCAGTCTGGGCGACAGAGCGAGACTCCGTCTCAAAAAAAAAAAGTTAGCTGGGTGTGGTGGCATGTGCCTGTGAGTCCCAGCTACTTGAGAGGCTGAGGCAGGAGGATCGCTTGAGACATTTTTGGAATAAGAAAACTCGCGGCCAGGCGCGGTGGCTCACGCCTGTAATCCCGGCACTTTGGGAGGCCCAGGCAGGCGGATCACGAGGTCAGGAGATCGAGACCATCCTGGCTAACACGGTGAAACCCCGAATCTACTAAAATACAAAAAATTAGCCCGGTGTGTGGTTGGCCGGGCGCCTGTAGTCCCAGCTACTCAGGAGACTGAGGCAGGAGAATGGCATGAACCCAGGAGGCGGAGCTTGCAGTGAGCGGAGATGGGGCCACTGCACTCCAGCCTGGGCGACAGAGCGAGACTCCATCTCAAAAAAAAAAAAAAAAAGAAAAAAAAAGAAAAAATCTCAGAGCAGACAGAAACATTATTTTCATTAGCAGTTCAGAGATCTCTGGTTTATCCTCTCTTCAGCATCTTTGTTTTTATTTTTATTTTATTTTATTTTATTTTGAGATGGGGTCTCACTCTGTCACCCAGGAACCCAGCATGGAGTGCAGTAGCATGATCACAGTTCAACGCAGCCTTGACCTCCCCAGAATCAGGTGATTCTCTCACCTTAGCTTCCGGAATAGCTGCGACTACAGACACGTGTCACCATGCCTGGCTAATTTTTTGCAGAAACAGGGTTTCACCATGTCACCCAGGCTGGTCTCAAACTCCTGGACTCAAGTGATCCACCCACCTCAGCCTATCAAAGTGCTGGGATTACAGGTGTGAGCTGCTGCACCCAGCCAAGCATCTTCTATTTTTGTACTGTTTTTTAAAGAACTAAAGCCAGCCGGGCGCGGTGGCTCAAGCCTGTAATCCCAGCACTTTGGGAGGCTGAGACGGGCGGATCACAAGGTCAGGAGATCGAGACCATCCTGGCGAACACGGTGAAACCCCGTCTCTACTAAAAAATACCAAAAAAAAAAACTAGCCGGGCGAGGCGGCGGGCGCCTGTAGTCCCAGCTACTCGGGAGGCTGAGGCAGGAGAATGGCGTAAACCCGGGAGGCGGAGCTTGCACTGAGCTGAGATCCGGCCACTGCACTCCAGCCTGGGCAACAGAGCGAGACTCCGTCTCAAAAAAAAAAAAAAAAAAAAAAAGAACTAAAGCCAGTGGCAGTTGACTGTATGAGCTATTTTTAAGTCAGTTTCCAAAGACAATTAAGTATTTCAGGTAGTTGGGACTTTTCTTTTTTTGGTTTATTTTATTTTGTTTAATTTAACCATTTTAAATATGATTTTCTGGGAATTATTTCTTCAAACTATAGAATATATGTGCATTCGTTTGCTAGGCTTGCTGCAACAAAGTACCACAAACCGGGTGGCTGAGACAACAGAAATTCATTATCTCATAGATCTGGAGACTAGAAGTTCTACGTCATGTTGTTAGAGTTGGTTTCTTTGACGACTGTGAGGAACTGTATGTTCCTTGCCTCTCCCCTGGCTTCTGGTGGTTTGCTGTAATCTCTGTCATTCTTTGGCCTGTAGGTGCATCACCCGGATCTCTGTCTTCATGTTCACATGGTGTTCTACCTGTGTGCGTATCTGTGGCCAAATTTCCCCTTTTTGTAAGGATACCAGACATACTGGATTAGGGTTCCTCTCTACTCCAGTAGGACCTCATCTTCACTAATTATGTCTGCAATAACCTTTTCCAAATAAGGTCACATTCTGAGGAACTAGAGGTTAGAATTTCAACATACAAAATTTTTTGGGGAGTGGGTAAGGCACACGCTTCACCCCATAGCAATATGTTTATGAGTAAATGAGTTAGTATGTTAGTTATTGTCTTTCTCCCACCTCAGAATCTGAGAAAATAGTTTCTTTTTCCATTCCTTGGGATGTAGGTGGAGAAGGAGGAGGATGATGATGGTGATTATTTTTTGGTCATGGAGCTAATGTGACCCACTTTAAAAAGCAACAGACAATTGTAAGGAGGAGAACTGTCATACACCTACCGCCCAGCTTAAAAAATGATTAAGTCATCTTGTTTAAACATAACTGCCATCCCAGCATCACACCTCAGAAGTTGACAGTTTGCCCGGTTTTTTTTTTTTTTTCTTTTTTTGAGATAGGATCTTTCTCTGTTGCTCAGGCTGGAGTGCAGTGGCATGATCATGGCTCATGGCAGCCTCAACTTCCCAGGCTCAAGGGATCCTCCCGTATAGCTGGGACCACAGGGGTGTATCACCACACCCAGCTAGTTTTTTGAATTTTTCTAGAGATGAGGTTTCCCTGTGTTGCCCCACCTAATTTTGTTGTTGTTGTTCCATTCTTTTTTTTTCTCGTCCTGTTTGTAAGGATTTAATCAAGGTCTGTATATAACTTGGTTTCTATGTCTCTTAAGTCTTTTGTCATTTACAGATTCCCCTTGTGATTTACTGACGAAACCGGGTCATTTGTCCTGTAGAATTCTCAGATTTTGATTTTGCTGATATTATCCCCATAGTTTCACTGACCATGTTCATCTGTTCCCTGAATTTCCAAAAACTGGTAGTTAAATTTAGGTGGTTGATCTGATTCAGATTAAACTCTCAGCATTGCATGCTTTGATCAGGAGGCATAACGTGTAGTTGTATTTGTGTGTGTGTGTGTGTGTGTGTGTGATGTTAGTGGTCACTGATCATTGCCTGTGTCAGCATTTCACCACCAGGGTAATTTGGCAATGTCCGGAGACACACTGATTGTCACAGCGTGGGGGAGGGAACGCCACAGGTACCTTCAGGGGTAAGAGTCGGCGCAGCACAGCCCCCTACAGCAAAGTGTTAATAGGCCTAAAAAGTCAGTAGCACTGAGGTTGAGAAACTCTGGCCTACTTTTATAATTTCATCAGGTGTTTATGAAATGGTCTTATTCTAACTGTTATTTCTTCTTTCCTTGTTAGCTGGAATTCTTTCATAAAGTCTTTGATCAGTTAGTTACTCAAGGTATACTTCATACAGGAAAGACAGGATGTATGTTTGATTCTTTCCTAGTTTTCAAAATAATGAATTAGTTCCCTAGCATCTCCCAAAATTGACCAATGAACTTTGTGTGTGTGATTTTTTTTTTAAATTTATTATGAACTTACACGTTTTAACGTATTTGTGTTTCATTTCATTGCAGTTGTTTTTATTTTATTTTTATTTATTCATTTATTGTTTTGAGGCAGGGTCTTACTCTGTCACCCAAGCCGTAGTGCAGTGGTATAATCTCTGCCCGCTGCAGCCTTGATTCCCGGCCTCCAGCAATCCTCCCACCTCAGCCTCTTAGTAGCGGGGACCACAGGTACACCACCATGCCCAGCTAATTTTTGTGTTTCTGGGAGAGACTGGGCTTTGCCATGTTCACCAGGCTGGTCTTCAACTCCTGGGCTCAAAAGCAGTCCGCCTGCCTCTGCCTCCCAAAGTGCTGGGATGATGGGTGTGAGCCCCCGCACTAGCAGTTGTCTTTATTGATGCTCAGTTTTTCCCTTCGTTGAATGCTGGCTGCAGTGAACGCTGGGTGCGTCTTCATGTTGGTTTCTGAGTCCTTTTGACATGAGCACATGGGCAGGTGTTGTACCAGAGAGCAAAATAAGGAAACTGGTGTTCTGTGCTTATCTTGTGCATTTCCCCACACCTGGAATCAGCCGCTCCTCCAGGGAGTGCGGTTCACAGTCTGGGCTCTGGGAGAATTATAAGGTCAGTGTGGTCACCTTTTAGTATGAAGTCAGATATTCTAAATTATTATTTACTTCCTACATTCGGCCCAGGAGTCTAACCAGATAGTTTGGGAAAGAGAGAAGGAATTAAATAAATCAATCTCATGGTTAGCACTGAAGTGATAACTACACTTTCACAGGGAAATATAACTTATAACCCATGCAGAATAGAGAATTAGTTTTGCTCCTTTAGATTTCTAAAGGAATGAGATAATCTGTGGGAAGAAACTGTAACTGGAGCATGTTACCAGTTAAACACATGAATTAAAAAATTCATGTTTTAACTCTGCTTCAGTAGTTTTTCAGGTTTATTACAAACCTGCAGTAGCCAACTGAACTAATTATCTCTACACAGGGATTTAGCCAGTGGACTAGGCACACTGAAGCTTTGTGAGAGGGGAAATTGGTATTGACATTTTTTCCAGCTTGTTTTGAGTTCCATATATTCACTTTTTTTTTTAAATTGAGACAGACTCTCACACTGTCGCCTGGGCTGGTGTGCAGTGGCACAATCTGTGCTTGCTGCAACCTCTGCCTCTCAGGTTCAGGCAATTCTCCTGCCTCAGCCTGCCGAGTAGCTAGAATTACAGACGCCCACCACCATTTTGTATTTTTAGTAGAGATGGGGTTTCGCTATATAGGCCAGGCTGGTCTCGAACTCCTGACCTTGTGATCTGCCCGCCTCAGCCTCCCAGAGTGCTGGGATTACAGGCATGAGCCACCATGTCCAGTTGATATATTCACATTTGTAATAGGAATAACTGTATACTAAAATCTTTGAGTGCATGTTTAAGATTTGAAGATGTAGTTTGACTCAGTACTTTCCACCTGCATTTTTTTCTTCGTTCTATGCCTGCTAAGACTATTCTAATACTTCATTGTAGTTAACCCCTGCGAAAAGAGCTCCCAGAGCTTACGGTGCATTTGATTGATGTCATATGGACTATTTATCATTTTCTAAATTATTTTGTTTGTATAAAGCAATCTGAAGAGGATGTAAGTCAGTTTGATTCCGAGTCTACACATCAGACACCTGTCGACAGCCCAGATGACTCAACTCTCAGTGAAAGTGCCAATCAGGTCTTTCCGGTAAGTGAAAGAATTTCCGCGTAGTCATGGGAAATTTTAAGTATGAGGATGGGCTCTTGGATAAGAAAATTCAGTTTGCTTGCTTTGCAGTTCATGTAGGTAACCTGGCCCACTATTTTTTTTTTAAATAAGCCATGCTTTCGTAACTCATTGATACCTACAGAATTGATTTTCATAAGGCAACATTTTATTTTAGCAATTAGAGTGGAAGGTACAATTTTTGGAGAGTATGATTCCCTTTTTAGGTTGGGCCACAGACTTAAAATGGTGTTTGGCTTAGCATCTCAACCAAAAATTAGTCATAGCAGTGGGGGAGAAAAACCTCACTAACTGCATGTATTTTATTCCTGAAACAGCTGTAGATTTTTGGTACTTCTTTTTTTTTTTTGAGACAGGGTCTCACCTTGTAGCCCAGGCTGGGTGTAGGGTGTAGTGGTGTGATCACAGTTCTCTGCAGCCTTGACCTCCCAGGCTCAAGTGACCCACCCATTTCAGCCTCGTGAGTACCTGGACTACAGGTGTGTGCCACATCCAGCTAAGTTTTTCTTATTTTGTAGAGACAGAGTCTCACTATTTTACTCCTGGACTCAAGCTATCTTCCCGCCTCGGCTTCCCAAAGTGCCAAAATTATAGGGATGAGCCATCATTCCTGGCCCTAGTTTTGGTACTCTTAACATAAGTAGGGGATTTTTTTTTTTTTTTTTTTCCATACGCAGTCTCGCTCTGTCACCAGGCTGGAGTGCAGTGGCATGATCTCAGCCCACTGCAACCTCCGCCTCCTGGGTTCAAGTGATTCTCCTGCCTCAGCCTCCTGAGTAGCTGGGACTACAGGCACGCGCCACCACGCCTAGTTAATTTTTGTATTTTTAGTAGAGGTGGGGGTTTCACCGTGTTGGCCAGGATGGTCTCCATATCTTGACCTCGTGATCCTGCCACCTTGGCCTCCCAAAGTGCTGGGATTACAGGCATAAGCCACCACACCCAGCCTATAGATTATTGTCTTTTAAGACTCTAGGTTTGGGGCAATTGGTTTCATAACAAGATTAACTGATAGCCTAACTGACCAAGTATATGGGGCAGGTAAGAGGAATAGTCTAAGACAAACCTTCATTTCTCAGCGTGGATAGATGGATCAATCAACATTGGGAAGCTCTATTAGAATAAGTAACTTGATGGCATTACCGGAGGAATAGGGAATTTTTTTGAAAGACCAAGTTTAGACAGATATCAATAATTTGGGCTTGGAAATACTGAGTCTTAGGAGTTCCTGGGAAACATACAGGTGAAGATATCCAGTTGGCAATTTGATATAAGGATCTGGAGATAGAAGATTTGATGTAAAAGCTGTGGGTTTGAATAACATTGCTCATTTATGCGTTTTCAGAACCTTTTTTTGTAGATTCTTTGTAGACAGTGTTGTCTACAAATAGAAACAGCTTCTTCCTTTCTGATGCCTATGCCTTTTATTTCTTGCTTGATTGTATTAACTGTAACCGCCAATATGATGTTATTAATAAATTAAATGGGAATGGTGACAGTAGACATCTGTGCCGTGCTCCTGATTTTAAGGGGAATACATTCAACCGTTTACCATTAAGTATGTCAGCTCATTTGTTTGTTTCCTTTTTTTGCGTGTGAGACGGAGTCTGACTCTTGTCGTCCAGACTGGAGTGCAGTGATGCCATCTCAGCTCAATGCAACCTTTGCAATCTTCGTCCCCAGGGTTCTAGCAATTCTCCTGCCTCAGCCTCCCGAGTAGCTGGGATTACAGGCAGCTGCCACCACGCCCTGCTAATTATTTTGTATTTTTAGTAGAGACGGGTTTCTGCATGTTGGCCAGGCTGGTCTCGAACTCCTGACCTCAGGTGATCCACCCGCCTTGGCCTCCGAAAGTGCTGGGATTACAGGCGTGAGCCATTGTACCTGGGCTGTTTGTTTCTTTTTTTTATTTTTTGAGATGGAGTCTCACTCCGTCATCCAGGCTAGAGTGCATTGGTGTGATCTTGGCTCACTGCAATTTTCACATCCCAGTTGCAAGCGATTCTCCTGCCTCAGCCTCCCCAGTAGCTGGGATTACAGGTGTCTGCAAGCACACCTGGCTAATTTTGTATTTTTAGTAGAGATGGGGTTTCGCCCTGTTGGCCAGGCTGGCTGGTCTCGAACTCCTGAACTTGTGATCTGCCTGCTTTGGCCTACCAAAGTGCTGGAATTACAGGCATGAGCCCTGCGCCCAGCCACGCCTGAGCTTTTAAAAAGACCCGGGTGTTTATCTGGGATGTGAGCCCCTGTTTCCTTTTACTGTTTTTAACATGACTGCTAAAAATTTTAAACTACACATATGGCTCACGTTATATTTCCACTGGACCTCGCTGCTCTGAACTAACAGATGAGGACCATAACACTGGCTTTAAAAATTATGCAATATGGCCTGGCACAAGCCTATAAACCCAGGAATTTAGGGGAACTTGGCTGGGTACTGTGGCTCATGCCTGTAATCCCAGTACTTTGGAAGGCCGAGGCAGGCGGATCACTTGAGGTCAAGAGTTTGAAACCAGCCTGGCCAACATAGTGAAACCCCGTCTCTACTAAAAATGCAAAACAATTAGCCGGACCTGGTGGTGGACGCCTGTAATCCCAGCTACTTGGGAGGCTGAGGCAGGAGAATCGCCTGAACCTGGGAGGTGGAGATTGCAGGGATCCGAGATCGCGCCACTGCACTCCAGCCTGGGCAACAGAGCAAGACTCCATCTCAAAAGATAGATAGATAGATAGATAGATAGATAGATAGATAGATAGATGATAGATAAATAGATAGATAGATAGATAGATAGATAGATAGATAGATAGGATAGATAGATAAAAAGGGGAACTTGGAATGGGAGCCATGCGGGAGTAGTGCTGGGTATGAGGCCTGTGTATCTTGTTCCAGGGCTGTCTTGAGTCATGGTCCACCCACATGGGCTGCTGTCATCTCATCATTGGCCAGGTTGTAGATTAACACTCTTGAGGTAATCTCTGGACCTTAGCAGTTGGGTCTTCATGCCTCATGTGTTCCAAAATTAGCCCCATGAATTTCTAAATAAGTGCATAATTATCTAAGTGAGCACTGTGCACAAGAATGTCTATCTGGTGGGAAGGGAAACAAAGAGCTTTATTTATTTGTTTGTTTATTTATTTATTTATTTATTTATTTTCGAGACAGAGTTTCACTCTGTTGCCCAGGCTGGATTGCAGCAGCGTGATCTCTGCTAATTTTTGTATATTTAGTAGAGATGGGGTTTCACCATGTTGGCCAGGCTGGTCTCGAACTCCTGGCCTCAAGTGATCCACCTGCCTCGGTCTCCCAAAGTGCTGGGATCACAGGCATGAGCCACCAGGCCCAGCCAACAAATAATTTTAAAGTTTGTTTCAAGGCTAAATGTAAGAAAGGAAAAAAGTTTCAAAATACATTTTGAAACTGAGCTACTTGGTTACAAATTGATGCTTTTATTTCTGTAGGATAGATTTCCCAAACAGACTGCTAGCTCAAATGCTATTTTCCAAATTGGCTTTAGCAATTTATATTCCCACCAGCATGTATGAGTGTCCTTTATTCATGCTTTCAGTATGAGGTATGATTACTCTTTTTATTTGTTTGTTTGAGACAGGGTTTCTTTCACTCTGCTATCCAGGCTGGAATGCAGTGGCGTGATCTCAGCTGACTGCAACCTCCACTTCCTGGCTCAAGTGATCCTCCAGCCTCAGCCTCCCAAGTAGCAGGGACCACAGGCATGAGCCACCATGGCCAGCCAATTTCTGTATTTCTTGTAGAGACAGGTTTTCACCATGTTGTCCAGGCTGGTCTCGAACTCCTGAGCTCAAAGTTCTCTGCCTCCCTTGGCCTCCCAAAGTGCTGAGATTACAGGCATGAGCCACCGTGCCTGGCGCAGATATGGTTACTCTTTATAACTTTTGCCAGTCATTGAAAAGTGGCATCTCTTTCTTGTTTTAATTTGCTTTTTCCTGAATAGTGAGGCTGAGCAGTGTCTTTTTATATTTTTATTGTCTATTTGAATTTCCTCTTCTGCAATTTGCCTATTTGCAGCCTTTGTCCATTTTTCTATTAGTCATTAGTTTCTTTCTAATTAATTTGTAGAAACTGTTTATATGTTACAGACTTTCATTCTTATGTATTACAAATATTTTCCCAATCTATTGTTTTTTTCTTAATTTTGTTTATGCTTTCACCATGGAAAAAACTTAACTTTCTTTCTTTTTTTTTTTTTTTTTTGAGACGGAGTCTCCTCTGTACCAGGCTGAGTGCAGTGCCGGATCTCAGCTCACTGCAAGTCGCCTCCGGGTTCACGCATTCTCCTCAGCCTCCGTAGCTGGACTAGGCCTGCCACCTCGCCGCTAATTTTGTATTTTTAGTAGAACGGTTTCACTTGTTACCATGTCTCATCTCTGACTCGTGATCCGCCGTTCTGCTCCCAAAGTGCTGATTACAGCTTGACCACGCCCGGCCGGAAAAAACTTAACTTTCATATAGTCACTTTGCTTTATGATTCGTCTGAATCAAGTCGTCTTCACACACACTTCTTCACTTTTGTTTTTATTATTTTATACTTAGATATCTAATGCATTTCAAGTTATATTATCTTACGTTATATGACATAGTGGCTGATTGACCCAAATTTGCAATCAACTCTGTAAAATAGAATCTCTACTACAATGCCTTAATCAAATAGGGGTCGCGCATGGTGGCTTACGCCTGTAATCCCAGCACTTTGGGAAGCTGAGGTGGGCGGATTACCTGAGGTCAGGGGTTAAAGCCCAGCCTGACCAACATAGAGAAACCCCATCTCTACTAAAAATACAAAATTGGCCAGGCATGGTGGCTCACGCCTGTAATCCCAGCATTTTGGGAGGCCGAAGCGAATGGATCACGAGGTCAGGAGATGGAAACCATCCTGGCTAACACGGTGAAACCCCATCTCTACTAAAAAATACAAAAAATTAGC